GGAGTCGATTTTCTGAACAAAAAATTGGATAATTTCAGAATTTTCCGAACAATTTCAAGAGATTTTTTTTTATAGGGGTATCTTGTCTACCGCTACAGACCATCCGAATATGAAAGAAGAAGCAGAGAAGTTAAGAACTAATATCAAGCAAGAAGAAACCAAGAATACCAAAAAAATAGCAAAAAGTTAAGGAATTACAGTCTAAAAACCAAGCGCAACAGCAAAAAGAAATAGTTAATCTGCAAGAACAGTTAAAACAGGCTTAGGATTATGCCAAAGAATTAAAAAATACTTTAAAAATTACTGTGCCGAATGAATTTCATGCTATAGCATAACATGATTGGTCGACCGATCAAATTACTGATTTACAAAATTTTGGGATTCAAAGGGATTCAAGAAATATGTTATAAAGCAAAGTGTGAGCTTCAATTTTCTTAGAGAATTTTTTACATTGCTTAGAAAGGATAAGGCACATGAGCCTTTCAAAAAATAACATAAAAAAATTCGGTATCAATTGTGTAACAACTCTGTGTAACATCCACTGTAACTGAATACAGCGCTCTACGATAAGTGTAAATTAAGCACAACATAAAATCGTTATTCCTACTCGCAGATATTTTATCCTAAATTAAATCCCAAATTAAATACATTCTTTTCGACCAAGGCATTAAATTAAAATACGATGAAATATTTAACTTCAATTACACTACTTCGGTTGTGCTTATTTTAGTTATAGCAGGATATTACATGAATAGTTTCATTGAGGAATACTCATTCTTATCGGCTAACAACGACTTTTCAGATAAAAACACTACAAATATTATACCGTCTTCAAAATTTCTAGAAAGAGAGAAACAAAGGCTAACATATACTAAATTCAATGCATTTTACGACGATTACGCTAAGAAACACAATCGAAGAGTTGCAAAATTATTGAACCAGACTACTAAAGATAATTCAACAAAGCTTCCAAAAGTTATTGTCGTGCAGCCTTATATGAATGCAGGATTAGGGAATCGATTACCTGTATTAGCATGTGGTTTTTTGTATTCGATGATTACTGATAGGTTATTTTTTGTTGAAGGGTTTTACAACTTTACAGAATATTTCGAGAAAGATTTTGACCATGACTGGAAAAGCGTTGCAAACTTATATAAAAATAGTAGATTCAGATATTTGCATGACGATTTTGAAAAAAATGATTTTCAATTAATAACTAGAGGAAATCTTAGTAATGAGGAAATAAATTCATATGATATTTTATATGTTCACACGTGGGATTATGTGTGTGCACCGTTAATTTCGAATCCTAACTACAAAGAATGGATTAGTAGAATAATACCGGACAAAAAAGTATTCAGTGCAATTAATCAAAAATTACTAAGGTTAAAACCCAATATTACCAAAAAGTAGCAAATTTTGTAGACAATAATTTCGGAGAGTATAATATAGGAATTCATTTAAGAATGCGAAAGAATATTAGAATTAGCGCTATAACACCTACCGAACATTTTTGCCATGCAGCAAAAATGTTGATGATTGGAGCAGTAAAAAAGAATGTAACCATCTTTGTAGCTGCAGATGACAATGAGAATCGTAATATTTTAATAAATTGTCTTCATAGTTCACTTGGCTCAAAGAACGATTCAGTTAATATTATTCACGCAGGAAATGATATGGACGTCTTCGTTGGTGACGATCCTGGTACAGAAATAGGCGCTATTATCGATTTGAGTATCCTTAGGCGACCCCAATTCAATTCAGTGGTTTACATTACATTTTCATTATGAAAGAGGGGGGGGCTTCAGAGGGTTTATATAGTAAAATTTCAAATTTTTTTTTTA